ATTATTTCAAAGAAATGTCTAATATAAAACAGTGAGATAAAAATAAGAGAATATATAGAAAAAATTAAATTTTCTTATTTATATATGTTAAATGCTAGATAGTATATAAATAATAAAATATAAAAGAATCAATCCAAATATTAATCTGAATATAAATTTAAGTTTTAATTAATTAATAAATATATCAATTACATAAAATAATATAGAATATTATGATTGGTCAATTATTTTAAAAAATGTTGAAACTCCATTCTATCAATTCAACTAGAATTTAAAAACTAAAAATTTTATTTGTATTATATAAAATCAAAATATTTTTAGATTTTACTTAATTGTCTGGAGCGAAGCGAAAAACAATATATTTCTATGCACTATGAAAAAATTCCCGATCACGTATGTTTCTCTGTTCACATCACGTGACTATCAACTAATAATCATCACAGTTAGTTTTTCATTAAATAAATAAATAAATCAAAATAAACCAAAACGATATACTTTATTAATAATTAGCATAAACAAAAAAACAAACCAACAAATGCTAACTATTTTTTACAAGACAATGAAATTAACTGGTTTTCCTCAACCTTCCTTTCTTGCAATTTAATTAATTTATATACTAAAATTGAGTTAATCTTTCATCCTATTTTCCCCATCAATAATCTATGTCTATGTGTATTAACCGTTATAATTTAATAAAAAATTAACTATTAGTAAATTTTTACAAAAAACTCAAAATAATTATGTGATTCATATAAAAGAGCTCTGGATTCACAACGGTTCCTGTTCCCTAGTTTTAATAAATTTATATATATGATCTAATTATTTTATCAATATCAAAAGTTACAAATATATATACTATAATTACTACTTTTACTTATTTATATAGCTTTAAATTAATTTAACTATTATTATTAGAAACAATTCACTTTTTATATATTTTTGTCTAAATTAATTTACTATAACAAGTAAGTTTCTTATTATTAGACTTTATAACCTTAGGAAATCTCACATTCTACAGGTATTTAAAATTTCTTAGAATTATTTCACTTAACTTTACAAATTTAAAGGTTTAGAAACTTAGAAAATTTATTTATTTTAAATGATAAACTTAATAGCAAATTAGTATAGTGATTCATGATTAAATTCTAGATGATAAACACATAAAAAAAATTAATTATATTTTAAAGTTAATTCCTTTATATATTACTTAAAACTCATAAAAGAGTTATAAAACTTTACAAGAAGTTAATTTACAATTTAAGCAAAATGCTATTCTATTTATACAAAATTAATTTGCTACAATTAACTAATTGCTAAGTTACAAACTAACTAAATTTGTAATTACAAGTGATAATATATAAAATGGTACAAATATATAGAATATAATTAATATAAGTAAGATAATAATTATAACAAATAAAATAAATATAATAAATATAATAAAAATAATTAAAATAATTAAAATAAGTAAAATTAAAAATATTAGGCTTATAAGAAATATATTAAATATCAGGTAAATCAAAATTATGCAGATCTTCTCATTTGTGATTAAATAAAATTAATTTCAATAACTTCTGTAAATCAATTTTTTAGTAATGAATTTTTAGTTAGTAATACTGTACTTATTATATTTTGAAATAATATTTACTATCATATCAAAATTATTGAATTGTATATATAAATAAATTACTTTAGTATTTATTTTCATTGTTTTAAATAAATAATAAATCAGTTAACAATAATACATTTAAAAAAATAAAAAAGATTATAAGATAAATGATAAATATAATATATTTTTTATTAAAAGTTTTGATAAAAATATAATAAAAACTGTTAAAAAATAAAATATATATTATGAAACTTTAATCAAAATTGTAAAAAAAAAAGAAAAATAAAAATTACTAAAAAATAAAAAATACATTATATATAAAAATATAAATAAAAATAAAAATATTAAAAATGAAAATTATTAAAAAATAAAAAATGCATCTCAATTAGAAATGCAAATATAAAAAGATTAAAATCCTTTTATTAAATAAAAAATTTAAAAACTAATGTAAAAAATTTAGATCAGATTATTAATTAAATAAAGTTTTATTTTATTAATTTATTTTTATATAATTTTTACATAATAAGAAATTTAATATAAAGAAATAATAATTATTATATTATATAAAAATATATTGCTTTTTGCTTTATTTTATATAATTATTAAGATGTAAAAGATAAAAAAAAAAATAAAAAAAAAAATAAATAATATATATAACAAATAAAATAAATAAAAAAACATAAATAACTTTTTAATAATTTAAAGATTTTAAATCTTTTTATAATTTTATAAAAAAAGAATAAAATGTAATATCAATATTTAATAAAATTTTCAATAATATTTACATTATTAGAAAATTATTTATTTAATAATAACTTATATAATTTCTTTTTTTATAAATTTTTATATAGTTTAATTTTAATCTATTTTAAAATTTATTGTAAAATTTAATTAAATAAATATAATTTAAATAAATATTAATAAGAATTATACAGTCGTTTCCCTTTATAGTCACACCCTTTGGGACTAAAAATAAAAAGTGTGATTATAATAAAAAGTTACTATACAGTGGGATTTTTATTTGTTGTTACTAAGCATTGGTTCTAGAAGTGTGTGACTATAAAAATACTGTGATTATAATGAGGTTTTTTTATATTGCATTAATAGGTATTGGTTCTTATGAAATGTGTGCTTATAATGAGGGATTTATATGATGTGATTGTACAGGAAGTGACTATAGAGGGGGACGACTGTAATCATTAAAATTTATTATTAAAATTAAAATATTTGATTATTTGATTTATATTTTATAATATTATATTTATAAAGATAATTTATTATATTACTTATAAAACTATTATTAATAAATATTATATTAGATATTTAAGTTTATATTAAAATATTTTAATATAATAATTTTAATATAAAGTTTATTTAGCTTAATTTTTTATTATAAACCTTTTTTTTATTAATAGAAAAATTTTAACTTAATTTATAATTAAATAAATTTTAAAATTTATTTATAATTATTAAAAGCTAATTTTTAAAAATAAAAAAATGGTTTAGAAAATTCTTATGAATATTTTTATAATTTAAATTTTAAATAAGTTAAAAAATTTCTTAAAAAGAAAAATAATATTTATAATAAATTTCTATTGATTTTATATCTTAAAAATAAAAGATTTCTTAATATATTATATCTATACTAACCTATATTAATTATTTAATATTATTATAATTTGATAAGTTTATTAATAATCATCTACAATTTACTATTTAATTTTATTAAATAATTTGAATTTAATAATTGAGTAATTTAATAAATATTAAATTAAATAAATAATTTAGATAATAAAAAATTAGCTTTGATTATTAAAAAAATATATAAAAATTTTATATAAGTTAATTATAAATTTCTCAAATAGATGATGATAAGGAAGAAGTATTAAAATTTCTAAAATTTTAATATGTAATTTCTGGCTCTTCTCTTATATAATTAATATTATATATATAGGAATTTTATAAAAAAACTAAAAATCATGAAAAAATTTTTTAAGTTAACAATAAATCTTAAATTTATTTTATTAAAAAAGTTTATATTTAATATACTAAATATAGAAATTGTTTATAAAATCTAAAGCAATTAATATTATATAATTATAAAAATATATTATATTACATGATATAATAAACAAAAATCTTCATAAGATTATATTACTATATAATTATTATATTATAAGAGTATATATAATGTTATATATAAAGATGAGCATTATAATTAAAAAAATAATGTAATTGAGTTGCAGCTTGTGACACAATTAAATTTTCTTATGGTGTAATTAAATTGTAATTCAATTGAAATTTGAAATATTTTTTTGCAAAAAATTTTAAAAATTTTAAAATTAATTTTTAATTATTTATGTTTTAGTTTTAAGTTCTTAAATAATTTTATATTTTTATAATCTATCTTTTAAATCATAAGGATTTGCAAACTGCTTATTTACTATAAATTTTTTTCTGATTTACTTTTATAAATAATTAATATTTTTAAAAAAATTTTTTTTTTAAATTAATTTTATAAATATGTAATAATTTATAGCAAGTTTTATCTTTTAATTATATAATAAAATTTAAGATTACTTAAATACTAATAATTTGTGATTTTAAAAAAATTTATATTAAAAAATTCATAATTAACCTATAATAAACTTTTAAAATTTTACTTTTAATAATAGAATATTATAAAATTACTTATAAGAAATCTTTTATTAATAAACTTTATAATATATTAAGAAATTTTATGATTTTAATTATGAATGCAAAAATATAAAATTTTTGAAACTTAATTTTAAAATTAAATTATTTAAAAATCTTTTAAAAAATTAAAATCTTTATTAATAAAGTTGATAAAAAATATATTAAACTATATTTTTTATATAATGATAATATTACTAAAATCAATATTTAATATTTTATTTAATTTTGCAGGCAAATTTGCCTTTAAGGGATAATATTTAATTAATCAGATTTATAAAATAAAAATCTTATTATTAATTAATATAAATAAGATAATTGGTAAAATTATTAATATCATTTATTTAATATAATTATAATAAAATTATTATTAAATAAAACTTTCTAATGATTAAATATTATTTATAATGAAAATTAAATACTTTATTTATATTAAAAATCTAGAATTGTTATTTTATTGTTTTAGATAAACTTGTGTTGACAATAATCTGTATGCTAATATATTATTAATCAGAAAAATATTTTTCTAATATTAATATTTAAGAAGATAAGTTAACTAAGCTATACCATTTATACATATAATCAATTCAATCATTCTATAAGGTAACCGGATTCCACCTACTTAGTAAACAGAGAACTTCTAATCTTACTTATATCGGTGAATTATGAAAATAGTAGACAATTCTAACGAAATTTATTATCCTTTTAATAGATAATATAATTTGTCTTTAGCCTCATCATCACCATTCTCAGCGGCTTGACAATACAAATTTATAGCTTGTTTTACATCTATCTCGATTTCTACACCAAATTCGTAAAATACACCTAAATAATATTGACCATCACTGTTTTCTTGTTCAGCAGATTGTTTATAATATTCTAAAGCTTTTTTTAAATCCTTTTCAACTCCACATCCAACTTGATAACAATAACCAAGTTCGCTTAAACCCAAAAGTTTTCCAGTTTTGATTGATTTTTTATATAAATCGAAAGCCTTTTTTTTATCTATTCCGGTTCCAATACCAAAATCAAAGCAATTAGCAAGCCCGCATAATCCGCATATACAAAGTTCGGTTTCTGAAGCTTTTTGATACCATTTGAACCCCAACACTTCATCTATTGCAGTTCCTTTTCCCAATATGTAGCAATTTCCCAACAAAGTTTGCGAATACGTAATTCCCATTTTTGCTCCTGCTATATAAGAATTAAATGCCTTTCTTTCATTTTCTTCTGTTCCAATTCCTGCTTCATAAAAAAATCCAAGTAAGGTTCTATACTTTACATCATTTTCATTATTCAATAGCCATTTAAATATTTTTTCTTCTTTTTGATCGTTATTCTCAAGATGTTGTTTAATTAATATTATTATTTGATTGATGGGATAATTATCTAGCGCTTCGTAAAATATAAGTAATAAATCATCTACATATTTCATCGTTGCATTTTTAAGATGTTCTCTGGAAGGCGAAGAAGGTCTTGAATAAATCAACGGAACATTTAAATTTGTTGGTGAAGAAGATCTTGAAGGTGACCTTGATACATTAAGTTTTGATGGAGATAAAGGTCTCGACGTTGAGTCATTTGATAGAGTATTCAGATGTAAATTTGAAACTTTTTGTCTTATTGGAGTCGCACGTTTTATTTTCAAATCTGGTGGTGGTGTCGATGTCTCAATTATTACTTGATTAAAATCTTTCGTATTTATTCGAATAGGTGGCGTTGAAATACTATTTGAAGAAGTCATATTAATTTGAAAGAAGAGTTATTAAAAAAACATGTTCTGAACAATGCATAAGTTAATTATTATGTACGGATGTGCATATTTATAGATGTACAAGATGCAGGGTATGTAATTATTATATACAGATTTTCATCGAAAAGAAAAATCATTTTTATTAGACAAGCAAGGATATTTATTGCATAAATAAAGTTGTGATGTTTATGATAAAGCATACCTTGAATCGAAGTAGGATAACATAAATTCGAATTATTCTTTATAACGATTTTTTCATATTAAAGCAGCGAAAAAAAGAAAAAAAGGGTTGATTTTAAATTTTATTGTGGTGATTAAATATTTTTTTTTATGATTTGTCTCAAAGAGTCATCATCATTATTAATTTGATTTTGTTCTCCAATGAAATCCTCTATCATTTAAAGATATTATTCTTATAACTCGTATAAGAAATAATTAATCTATGTTTTGCCATGATCAGGATTGGTTAAATTCATTAACGATTAATTTCGGTTAATTTTGAATTGGCCAATCAACAAGAAATTTTATATTAAAAACCTAAAACACCTAAAATAGTGATCGTTTTTTCAAACCCTTTTTACATAAAGTAAATTTTTCAAATTTTATTAAAAACTACCAACTATTTCATATGACTCCTAAAAATCAGCTAGCTTGGGTGACTGATAATTGAATAGAATGATCTGCAATTCTAATTCGCTACCAGACGTGATACAAATTTATGATAATGTCTATTTAAATTCCGTATCACCATTAAATTGTTAAAAAGATTCTTTACGAAATCGAAATAGTTATAATAATCGCGAATTGGTTAATAAAGGTATTCTTAATTATATACAGTCAAAGCTCTTTATAGTGAACACTTGGTTCTAATCCTTTTTATTCACTATAATGAGATTTTATTAAGAGTTCACTATATCGAGAGAAAAAATTGAATTGGAAAATTAAAAATAATTCACTATAACGTGATTTTACTATAACGGAATTCACTATAACGAACTTTAGTTTTTTTTCGCAGTCATCAAAATCACAGTTTTTAGAATAAAAAATAATCATTTCCTACTATTAATATATTTTTAAACTAACTTATCATTTTATTTTTAAAGTTATTATGTCAGAATTTTATCAATGTCAAATTTTTAAAAAAATTATGAGATCAAAATTATCACTTTCTAAATATGAATGCAAATCTCACCCAAATAACAAAATAGTTTCACATAGTTATATAAAAGGATATTTCTTCTCAAGAAGATTTTGAAAGATATCAAAGTACATTTATAAAAAAAAAATTTCTTTTTAATATGAAACATTCTGGACAAAAAATTATAATATAGAAACATTTCCAGAATGTCTATTCATTAATCTTTTTTGTGATGAACCTATCTTTCATTATAAATCATATGTTAATGAATATAGCTGTTTATTGAAAGATTTGGATAGGTGTAAATGAATTGAAATTTTTTTTGATAAGATAGATTGGTATAAGAAAAAACATTCTGATCCTAATGTTTTAACAACATCTTATGTATTAATGTAAGAGCAAAATAAGAGTTACAAAGTTATTTTTAAATGAAAAGAGCAAAGATATATAAATAATGAAGAGACCTTATATGTAGGAAATTTATTTTTTAAATATTAAGTAATTATTAAAGATATTGATTGAAAATGTAATAATTTATATAGCATTATTTTTGCAAATAAATAAAATGTAAATTAAACAAAATATAAATTATTGTTTATTATTAATAATTAATAATTTTTGATTAAATTCAAAAGGTACAGAAGGTCTCCAAAAGTTTACACACACTTTTTAATATCTTTAATATTATAGTTGCCATAATCCTTATTTTACAAATATGTTATTTTTGAGTTCGTAAGCTTTAATATAACTTATATTTTCTTGAGCGTTTTACCACTTATCATTAAGAGAATTTGTTTTACAAATTAATATTTAATTGCTGAGAATCCATTTCTTATATCTTAAACATTAATCTATTTTTATAACTTCTTTACAACGTTATTGTTGTTTAAGTATTCTTTAGTTATTTCTTTCAATATTATATTTCTACTAATTTATCTTTCCAAATATCACTTCTGATTATTATTTCTAAATATTATTTTCAAATATTACTTTCTGATTATTACTTCTAAATGTTCCTATTAAATATTACTTTCTGATTATTACTTTTTGTGATTAAATATTACTTAAATCTTTATCACATTATTTTTATTTTTTTTCTGATAATTTTGAATTTTATTTCATCATTATTTCATTAAAGTTTTTCTAAAATTATAGTTTATATATAAGCAAAATAACTATTTATTTTCATGACTTAGTTGTTCAATAACTAATCATTTCAAATAATAGTATTTATTTTATTTATGTTTATAAATTTATTTATTAAAAATAATTTTATATATTAAGAAAAAATTGAACTTGATTTCTTAATCATATTTAAAGGGTTTATATAATAAATTTAATAAATTTATATAGTAAAAGTGATGAATAGTAACTACCTATAATGAATAATCTAATTAATTGCTATATGCTATTTAAGTTCTATAATAAACATGTGATGAATAATAACTATATATGATGAATTACTATGTGATACTAAAAAAACTCTTTCTTCTTTTCAATATGACATCTAAGAGAAAGAACTTCAAATAACGAGATCACTTAATGTCTTTATATACCAACAAAAATATTTCAAACAGTTTAAACAAAAAAATCAACCCAACGCAAATTAAGAAAACTACTCCAATATCAAGTAGCTCAACCACAGTCATACTTCTAGAAATAATGAAAGTTGACTCAATACCTTTAGAAAAAGGAAAAACAAAGAAAATGATATTGTCCTGACACCTCTTAACAAAGCATATAATCTTTCTGAAAACTTCCTTGATGACGTTTACAAGTTTTCACAAGCTTTCAACAAATTTAAGCCCACTTATCATGCATCTTTTTCTCTAAATGATACTCCTGAAAGTCACTTCAACAAAAAATTTCTTTTGTTATTGATCTGCTCTTTGATGTATATGATTCATTCACAGACGCAGTTGCTACAAAAAATCCTGCGAACCAATCAAAATGTATTATTAAAATATCATTTTGAAACAAAGACCATAAGGATCATGTATGCATTGTAAATTTACCTAAATGGATAACTACACGTTTTTATTTTTGGATATTATTACATAACATCCATACATTCTGAATCAATCAATTAAAGTCACAGAAATATTCTTAAATGTCACTGAATTTAGAATTAAAACAGTTTTCTCTAAATTTGAAAAGATTGTCCATTTTATTATAGAGACTAAGAATCTTTAGTAATAGGTCACAATTCCTATTAGTAGTGATACAAATTTCAAAAACTTGAAAATTAAATACGAAGTGTTCATTCTTAACAATATGATATAATGTCATATGTGTGTTTTAACTCATAATGAAATTCTTGCAAGATCTAAATTTTCAGTCAAGCTTATAGGTCTCTTTCATTTCATTACAGTCAAACAACTTGAAGATATTGGACATATGATCAATGCTATCTCTTGGATTATTCCTAAGGTATGATTCAACTACCATAATCTTTAATATGCCTTCTTTTACTTTGAATCAGCTGATGACATAGAAGCTGCAATCAGCAATGAAAATCTTACGATTGATAAGAAACATATGATTTGGACTGCATCTAATGCCAAACTTTATGCTATTTGCTTCTCTAATCATAAAGTTAATGACTATTCCAAAAAATGCAAATCACTTTCTGACTAAAATATGCAGCAACTTTATCAACGTTTCTAACTTGCTCAATATAGTAACTAAAACACCTCCAAAAATTAAAGGTGCAATCAGTCCTAATGTATCATTTGCTTATGTAACAAAAGGCAATGACTCTCAACCAAATAGAAAGAACTAATATCTACATGGATCTGATAAGTCTTCATCTATACATATACAAAATCTAGACAAGAAAGTTTCATCTGATCCACTACCTTCATCATAGTCTAATAACATTCCTAATGATTTATATAGAACATCTTACAAGCAGTGCTGTCACGAAACATAGTTAGGACACAGATAGGACACAATGGGATAGTTGATATAGTATGAGACATATTGGGATATATAGCTGGGATTATACATACATCAGTAAATTTAATAGGACGTAATATTGCGTAAACTTATGTTCTATAATATTACAAAAACTTACGAGACCACCGTAAGATTACGTAATTGTATTTCGTAATATTCCGTAACATTACGACGTAGTATTACGTAATATTATGGAATGTAAACTATGCGAAAGTTTACGGCGTAGTACTTCGTAACATTACGGTGTAATATTCTGT